AACTTGTAAATTATTTAGAGAGCCATGCGCTGTCTTCAGCTAGTACAAACACACTGCATGCAAAGACTTGCTGAAAACCAATGGAGCTCCCAAAGGGTCTCTCTCTAACGTTCAGACAGCTTGCAGCTCGCCAGTACAGCGCTGTTAAAAACAAGAAATAACACTAAGCTTACCTCCTCAGATATAAAGATTTACTCAGCCTTTCAACTCTGAAACTCTTTGCAAGTTTTTAACAAAGAGGAAGCTCCTCTATTGTCAAATCTGTACTTCACACTTAGTGATAAGAATATTAATTTGATGTCAAAAAAAACCCCAAGTGCTTTCAGTGAGACTGTGATAACAATCACCAGGGGACCCCAACTTTCAGAGGCTACACCAAAAAGCACCCCTTTAAAACCATTCCAATTTAAAATAAGGGGGGGGAGGGAATCTACATTTGTACAGTAATAGTTTTTATTAGAAAATAGGAGAAATTAGGGAATTCCAGATTTTACCCCCCACATGCAGACTGCCATTGGGGACAGCTTCAGATATTACTGCTTAAAAAATACAAAAAGGAAGGGGAAAAAACAACACAGATTGTGTGTGTTAAACTCTAACAGGCTGCAAACGGTGCAATGTTACCTGTCTTCCATGAATCAGCTCTTTACCACCTGAATCTTCATTTTGGTGGAAAAAAGCAATTACCCAAACTAATAGCAGTACTCCCAGCTGAAAAGCAGAATCTTACTGGTTTGGGAGTGGGTTTTTTCCCCCCCCCGCTCTTCATGCTGTTTTCCTGTCACCTCACCTTCCTTTGCTCATTTATTGCAGCCTTGCAAACAGATATATTAATTAGCAGTGATCACTCCATGCTATTTCACCATGAAAACACGGAAAATTGAACAGACAGAATGGCTGTGATGACCTGAGAGATGACCTTTCCTATTTTTGTGATGCCCCCGATACCAAAATGCTTCTGGTTCTATTTTCATTAATAAAATGGAAACATCTCAAGGAGCAAACACCAGGGACATTGAGGGGGGGGGGGGGGGGAGCAGAAATGCTTTCTGCAGGTGTTTTTTTTTTTCCTCACAGGGTATCATATTCTGACAGACACCTTTAAAATGGTGAACGTAGATACTGCAGATGGAACTTTAAATTAATGTGTGCCCATGCTTTCAATGAGACAGGTCCAGAATGCAGTCTAGCCGTCCTCAGAATTACAGCAACTTGGGGACACGAATTCTGCATAAAGGTTTTCATCAAGCCAGTGGGGTCTATGAACGGGGCTATCTACATATGCATTATTTGTCCATAGCCTGAATTACTAGAAGGAGAGGACCAGTCTATGGAACAGTCTCTTCATGACATTTCAGAAGGAATCAAACTGAATTAATTAATTTATGTGAGTTGTCTTGCTGCCTAGGGAAGGGTTCTGGCCACTACGCTCACCTCTTACTCCAAATGGAAGTCTTCCTAGGCTGCCCAAGCAAACGGTGTGTGCTAGATTTAGCATTATTGACTAAGATTTAAATTAACTGGAGTTAGTGACCAGAAGACTGGTATCAGACTCCAATGCTGGTAATTTTCTGCCCAGAGTATAGTTAGCAATAATTGCCTAGTATTCAGTGAAAACCACAATATCCTAAAGGAAAAGCCTGTGCATTTCAGACTGGTTGTCCAAGGAACAACTCTACGTTTATGACAGACAACAAGCAGTCAGGTTGCTGAACTTTTCACTGAAAATGCATTTTTTAATATCTAGTGTGCACCAACTGTAGACTAGAATGTCCTGGGAATTAAAAAATTAATGGGCTCAAAAATATCTATGCTACCTTTGTTAAGCAAAATAAATCACCATATACAAAATTGAGAAGTTTGATAAAGCAAGAGATAAGGTCTTTATGAGACCGCAAACACTAGAAAATACAGAAAATGGGAATGCACTGAGTTGCCTTCTGGGGTGAATAATAGAATTGTCTGGGCTGCTCTTGAAATACATGTTGTATACATGAAGCAGCATTACAGGAAAAAACAATACAAAGCACGTTTGTGAATCCTAAAACCAAGAAGACATCTGAGTTAGTCAACCAGAACTAGAACAGAATAGACAGTGGACAGCCTCAATAACTCAGTAATGAGTTAGCTTTGAATAAGCTGGTTTTTGAGCCTTTTTATGACACCACAACATACCCTATTGGCGTACCTTAAATGACTGACTGTATGCAATCAATTATGTCCACAAGAAGGGAAACCACACTGAGATCAGTCCCCAGGGCAAGCATTTTAAGAGTATATGAGGTGTGCCCTCAAGATTTTATGGCACTAGTTTCATTTTGACTAGTAATGATTCGAGCACAACATTTCTCATGGTCTGTCTTTGGTTCCAGGGTATTCTGTGATAATATCACTTGCACGATTCCTTGCCCAAAGGAACAACTACGCTTATTTGGTACATAACTAAAAATGCAATGAAAATTTTGAAGTTCTAATTGCTTTTCCAGTTATAACTCTGTCTGCTATTGACTAAACTAACTCTATGCAATAAATGCGATTTTCCTGAAACTGAAAGTAGTCAATAATAGTATGAGAATCTTTCCTTTGTATTAACCTGGTTGTAACTTTGTAGCAAGACAGTAAGGAGTCTTTGCTCATCTTTCCTCTTCAGTACACTATGTTCTTTCATTTTTTCCAAGCCTCTTGTGAGGGCAGTAATGAATTCTTGTTAGTGTTTACTAATGTAAATTCATTCTTTGTTATCCCCGGGAGAGGAGGATTAGCAAAGTGACAGAATTTATTATTTCTGTTATTGCTATATAATATTTACTTTTATTCAGCCCTTAATTTTGTAGTATGTCCCACCAAATAAAATATATGTGCATAAAAGCAAAAACTAAGGGTGAATTTTTTAGCACAATGCACAGAAATATAGTTATGATTCCCATTAACATTCAGAAGCATTGTACAGCTTTATCCTTGCATGCTATATTAAAAATATTAATCTAAATCTGAAATAATTTCTAATTTGGAGGAAGAAAGGAATTACAACTTCAATTTCATTTTCCTGAAATGAAAGCCGCTCCCTTGGACTAAGGATGTGCATATTTTTAAGACTGGCTAAAAATTACAATCCGTGCAATTACTTTACTCTACTGGGAATGCTTTTGGTATCTCCTTTAAGGAACTTTAATGGTTAAGATGAATTTTATAAAATACACAAAGAGCATTTTAGTAAAGAAAGCTCTTAAAGGACCTATCTTTGAATAAACATATCATCCAAACTCCCACCTCAGCCATAACAGAAATTTACAGAATGAGTATTTACAGTGGCTGTCCTCTACTTCACATAGATGAGAAGAAAGTGAAATTACAGTATACACATAAGATTCTAAAATTAATGGATACCATGAAAAAGACACAGGCCCAGAGCTTAAAATGATCTCCACATGTGAGTTAGACTTCATACACAAGTAGCCACATTCAGGTCAATCAGACTATACATGTGAAGAAGTTATTTCCATACATAAAAATCTAGGATACATTGCAATTGATACACGCTAACATCTCTTGCCTTTGAGTTAAATGGCCATTCTGATTAGCAGTATCTCTAAATCAGAAAATCTTCTCCTAGATCTCTGTGCCTATGTTACAGAGGACCAAGCTTCTCTCTTTCAGGCTGTAGAGATTCATGCTTTCCATTCCCATGGCTCCTACATAAGTGACTAGTCCCAGCAATATGGCGGCTGCCACGGAAGATTAATGCATTGAACTAGCCGAGTTACTGTATTATGAATTAATGCAATCCATTCACTAGAGATGAAGTTTAGAGTTAAAATGTATTACCTTGTGGCTTGATAAAGTGACTGACAGAGGGACAGAATACCCAAAGCTGCAGGCTGCCAAAGGTCTTTTTGAAATGCTTAGAAAAGTACTGAATCTCTTGGTATGGTATCAAGGGAACCTCAGTTAATTTTAGAGGCTCATCTTTCAGATCTGTGTAATTCAGTCTCAGAATTAATCTATTGTGCAAAAAAAGGGACTTTCAAGCTTTCCACCTCACCAAATGACTTTCCTTGCCAAAAACAAAAGACAATGAAGATTTCTCTTTGCTCGGGGGGTTTTGCTCAAAATTCCATTAATACTGAAGCTTAACCGAGATTTCTCAATCTTCAGCAAGATTGTCTCTTTTTATATTTATATCATTGGTAACCATTTGGCCTGTTGCCAGAAACAGGACTGAAAGTTCCTCTTCCAGGCCATTGTAATTTTGCAAAACAAACATTCTTCCACCCTACTGAAATACAACTTATCCTTTAGAACGACAGATCTTTTCTGATTTTTAATACCCACCACATATAAAGAGCTATCCTTGTGCAAGACGACTAACAAACATGTAAGATTAAGCTCCTGCCCTAAGGAGCTTACAGTATTTATGATTTATCTGAAATCACTGCAGAGACTTCCAAAAGCAAAGTATGCTTAGATATTCTTTGTGGTAGTCCCCTCCTACAACCAAAAATGATGATAGAAATGAAGAGCAAAGAAATTTAAAAATAAAGTTTAAAATATTTGCAAGAAAGTAGAGCAATCTGCAGTAACATTCTAAAAGTCAAAATCCACATATAAAAGCAGAGTCTTTATTATAGTCCACTTGAAATAAAAATGAAACACAATACTGTGCTTTAAATAACAGTTTAAACATTTTAAAGTTATACATCTATATCAGAATTCTGATTTTGATTTAGAGATAAAAACATGGAATTCAAATTTTGGAATGTATACAAGAAATCTGAATTTCACTGGAACAGTGAACTATTTGCTTTGAAGATATCCAAGAGCTTAGAAATCTAACTTCTGTTATGCAGTTCTACAAATCACATGTAATGAATGGAATTAATCAACTTCCAGATTACTCTGATGTAACTCAGACTAGAATCTGATCAAGAAAAATTCACTCACAATTTATTTTTCGCCATAAATTTGTAACTACAGTGTAATGAGACAACAACGTGCCTTACCTGGGTATCCATTGTCAATATAAGGCTTAACAAGTTCTCCAAGTTTTGTCTTGTCTGCAACAGCTTCCTTTAGCAGTTGCCCACAGCAAACTAACAGGAAGGAAGAACAAAAAAGACACAAGGTTAAATTTTAAAAAGGAAGCACAAAGAAAAGAAAAAAAACACCCAGAAGCTGCATACTGGAATAAGGTCACTGAATAAAATAAAAGTTGTAGGGTTTTTGGTTTTGTTGTTAGGATATTTTTTTTTTTTTGGCCAAGCAGAGCAAAAAGCAAAGAGACTGAGCAGGGGAGAATACTGAATAAAAAAGAATACATTTAGCAAAGAACATATTAAAAACAGAGAGAGAGAGAAAGATATTAATCAAATATGTTTCTGAAATAATAACTCAAGGGATTGCTAGTGGTTTTCACTTTTTATAAACTTACAATTACTGACTAAAATTGCACTTGCTCAACAGCATCTGAACTGCACTGTTGGAGGTGCAGGATAACATGCAGTTCAAGGAAGTGACTCCCTGGATCGTTTAATGATCATGTAAGAATAATATTTAAAAAACTGTGCTAATGCAACATTATCACTGACTTCAAATACACAGAACACCAGGAGATGCAGATTTCAAGTTTTAGTCAGGACAGTTGTACATGAAATACCGCTACTTTGGGCTTGGATACCACTTTCTGACCAAAGTTTTTGGGTCTTACTGCCCCACGCGAGTTAGATACAACAGTCCTGACCCTTATTTTACAGAGAGGGCACAAAGGCATGGAGAGGTTACACAACATCACAACAAGTCCTAGTTTCAACTCCGTTTTGGTAAATATTAGATAACAGTCACTCTGTACATTATTGCATGACCTTTTAATTAATAATCGTAAGTTGATTCCACCTTTTCTGAAATCAATAGCACCAACAGCTGCACTGACTTTAATGGAAAAAACAGCAAGTCCTTTCATCTCCTTTATCACTGTTAAGCACACTGTTTGGCAAACAAGAGTAAGAATACTCCACAGTAAAATTTCTTGGACAAAGTCGATGAAGTTTAATGCTTAAGTGACAAGGGATGAACACAAATTTTAACAGCCACCAGTTGTCCTGGAGAAGCAAATCCATATTCACAATAAATGGTATAAAAACATAACAGAAACTCAGTGCATAGACCCCAACTTAAGACAACTAATATGTATACACCTAAATTCAATCCAATTCATGAGACTATTTAAACATAGGATTAAATTTTTAAGCCTGTGCTTCAATCTCAATGGCCTAATTGGAAATTAAGTATATGCTGAATACTATGCTGAAAAGTGATGGTCTTCCGACTCTGTTTTAATACTTAATTCTTCTAAGATTTGGTTTACAGTATACTTAAAACTCAACATATGGGTAAAGCATTGGTAATGGTATTTAGTAAAAAGAGCTGCAACTCTCTCATATAGTGGTTACTTTAAAAAAAAAAAAAAAGCAAATTTTGACCTAGATGAAAACACTATCAAACTTGCAGTTTTAGAAATAAAGTTAAAAAAAAAAATTCAGAAACAGGAGAACAAGTTAATTTTTCTTTAACACATTCAAACATGTTTTTTTTCATTAAGCCAATTATGCAATTTATAAAAATACAGCTTTGAATAAATCTACAAATATTTATTTTTAATATGAAATTATAAAACACAGCAATATTAAAATAACTGATAGCATAAACATTCTATCAATTTTATTTGTACTTATCTGTATAGTAATATAGATTTTTAAATAATTTAAATTTACCTTTTTCAAGTTCACTGGATATCATTTTAGTCATATTCATGTATTTTTTTTTAAAAGACTAAAATAGTAATAAAGATTTAAAATACAAAAATACTAAAACTAGAACCCCAAACTGATAGGGAGACAGTTTCATAGCTGTTTCTGTGCCTTTAATGGAACTGCACAAACCTATGATCTAGCCATTAGTTGGAACGATTATATGGAAAGCACATGGCTTTTTCCGAAGGTTCAAGTTTGAACTTGAAAAAATTTATTCCTTTTCTGAGCACATCTACTAAACCTATAATTGAAAACAATACCGCTCAGATCTTGAAGTTATTATTCACATGTAACGCCAAACCAGGTTCAATGAAATCTTTTGACTTCACCAGCAGTTCAGGGAAGACACTAGCAAACTGGCATATCGCTATGGACAACTAAGTGAGTTCCACTAGTTAAAGAATCTCCCGAAGATAAAAAAATCACTACCTACTTAATTCTGATTTTTTCATTTGGTACACATTGTAAGAATATTAATGAAATAAACTTGCATTTTACTTAACAACGAGGATATGATTAATCAGCAGGTTTTACAGATATCAGACAGTTTAAAATAATTTGTAGCTACTCCACTATTAGAAGACATTATAGAACATGGACACATATTGCATTGATCCTATCACCAAGCTGTGTATTCATATTATAGGACTTTTTAACATTAGCATGCTAACCATGAACAAGCCTCATATAGAATTTTCTGGGCCTCCTTTAAAAAAGAATGTACTTTTAAATAATTGCTTCCTTTACTAATACATTACTTCAGATGCAGAAAAACTGAGTCTTCATTAAAGTTCAGAGTAAATTCTATTTTAAAAGTGCCCCAATTTTTGTCAGACAGCTGAAACTGCAAAGACATTACCATGATCCACTGATCCACAGAAGAGTAACACATAGAAAAATACTGATGTAAAGGGTATAAAAAATGATGACTAAAAAAAATGTCAGAGCTGGTTTGTCACAGAATATATGGTCTATTGGTTTATATTTCTTCATTGAAATACTTCTCACTTCCCTCAAAAATTTGACATCCATAGCAATGGACAAACAGAGAAATTTTATGAACAAGAAAGAAAGACAGACAGCAAAAGATAAATGATCAAAAAGAGAGAAAGGGGGAATTGAGCAAAGTGCATATTTACTGAGAACTTACTGTTGACAACACCATATTTCTGAGCTATTAGTGCTGCCTGCAGGCTCTTCCCACTGCCTGGGGGTCCACAAAAGAGAATCCGTGGTGTAAAGGGGGCGGCTGATCGGTGCCGTGTTTGGACATAGGTAAGAACTAGAACATGAGAGAAAGGCAAGAAATACAGTTTATATCCTATTTCTTTTTAAAAAAAAACGAAACATTGATTAACTTCTCTCTTTTTTTTAAAAAGGTTGTCATGTTGATCATAATTTATTTTATCACTGAAACATCTAGATACTCCAACCAAAATCAGGACTCTGATAAAACTGTCATGTCAGCAACTTACACTAAGAGGCACTTTAGAAATCTAAGTATCATTACACTCCTGTATTTTCTTTCATCAGTAGATGTCAAACCATTTTAAAGAGCAGATTCAATTAATAATTGCTCTTTTACCATGTTGTTTTTAGCAGAAGTAATTTTTGCTTGATAGGTACAATTTTACCATGCAAATTATAGAGGCATATAATTACATTTAATACTTTCTGCAGTTTCTGAACAAATCTTTAAGTGTAAAAACTCAGGATGTTAAATTAATATGACATTTATCCAGCTGTGTGTGTGATTAACAGACTCCTAATTACAATATTATAGACTTGTAGCATAGGATGTCATGACACAATACGGCATTGACAACACATAACTGAGTATGATTTTATTCTTTTGTCCATTTTTGCATAACATGTAAAGGATATTTGAGCTTCTCTGCCCGATTCCACTCTGTTTGCTGGACATCATTCTTCTACATTTTGTATCGCGTAGGAAATACTACATTCAGGTCAATCTACAGATTATAAGAACTTTGGAAAGACCACAGGACACGTGAAGCATCATCAACATTGCTGTATTGTAGAGATCTGAACTTTGTTACAGTCTCAAAAGAGAACCTGACAGATCACCAAGAAACTAAAAGAAGACACAGCTTTGCAGTGAGGACAAATTAGGATCATATTTGGACATAACCAAACACTCTTACTACCCGTGCCCCTTTTATGGCTAACAATACTAGTGAGGAGAGCAGCTCAAGCTTCAGCAAAAGCTATGCAAGCTTTCCAGGGATCACAGATTCAAATGCCAAGGCTACGGTATGCCACCATATCCTGACTGCCACAGTTACGCATGATTAAAGCAGCATGGGCACACCTACACAGGCTTTGATTTCCTCTGTAATTGCAATGGATACAATTAAGTATTAGCCCAGACATCTTCAGTTCAAATAAAAGACTCCCTAGACTAATGACTCCTTGTAATAAAATGGTCTAAAAACTTAGACTAATAGAATTAGTCTAAAAAATAAGACAGGCTTAGACATTAATGTTTGTATGAATCATAAGCCCATATTAAAAAAAAAAAACCACAAAGGGATTGATGGAGAACATCATAAGGATCAGTATTTTAACTACCATTGTTAACACATCACTGTATAATAACTAACAATTTTCCTGAGGACCCTCTGCTAGACACTTTGGTATCATTATAAAATCTGTTCGTAATAAAGAAGCATCACCAGCAAACTCCAGCCCTGCTATTTCTAGATAGTGGACCTAAAGTATTGAGAAACTAACTCAAACTGCAACCACATAGGATCGTATCCATCTCTTTCTCCAATGGCACAAGCTGTACTGGGATACTACACTGTACAACTGAATTTGCTGTCACATATCCTAGCATACATTAGCAATAATTGCATTAAAGTTTAAGAGTTTAGAAAATTTTATAATTGTATGAAACAATCCATAATTATACTAATATTGATGAGAGATGTCCTCTTTCTTTTTAAACTCTATCTGTAGCAATAAAAATACTTAAAAAAAACCTGGAAAAGCATAACAGAAAACAGTGTGTTTGCTGCATAATTTCCTAAAAACCAAGTATCAGCTACCCAAGGAGTGCTCTAGTTATTCTGAACATTTTCCATAACCCAGTGTATTGAAAAGCACAAACATTACAGGCAAAGCACCCTGCTTACAAATGATGCTTAATTTGCAGTAAATAACCAAGTTAATTAGGAGTAATGATCCCCTAGACAGTCTCCACATCTCATTATTCTTAAAAAAAAAAAATCTGGCTGCTTGATGCACTGCAGAAAAAAGATCTAGAGAGGATTTTTTCATTCCAGTTTTCAATTTATCTCACTACATTATTAATTAATAATAATTAATATTCAGGCACTCACATTTTTATTTACAATTCAAGGCATGAATTCTTTATGAATGATGATATGAACTTTTAAATTTAATTAAGTAATTTAGAGGTAATTAATGTGTAAATTCAGAATATAAACTTCCTACTTGTTTATCTTAAAAGTGCAGCACTTGTTATTAAAAAAAAGACCTTTTTGAGATGCAAAATTACTGGGATATAACAGATCATCTACAGACTGACAGCTACAAAGTACATTATCAATTGGTCTTCCTGGCAGTTTCCTTATTCTCTTCTTGAAGAATCAACATTAAAAGTCAGATTGCATTACAGTCAAGCAAAGGCAAACAAGAATTGTTGAACAGAAAAGCTACCAACGCAAACAGCTTTTAAATAATGAAATGTTCCCAGCTTTGAACTACTCCTACTTCTTGTTATCAGACTTGTGGAAGGTACTAGCCCTTTGGGAGATTAACAAGTGAGCCACAATGCAGCCTTTTAGAAAAGACTCTCGCAGAAACAACCGTGACATTTGCTCTACTGAGTCAGCTGTTCCTTGGCAGGACCGTGAAACTTTCTTTCCAGTTACCTGCCCTTACTCTAGTCCTGTAAAATAATTACCAGGAACAGCCCAAACGCTGTACTAGAGAGAACACAACTCAGCTGGGAGCCATCTGCGTTGACTAATCCTAATCCTACAAACTGTCTCTAACAGCTAGGAACTACCTTTCAAATAAGAGTTTATCACCTATCAGATTTGCCATAAAAGTACATATTTACCCTGTGAGAGGACATCCATGGAAGGCTGGTCTGCATTGATCGATTTCAAAACTTTTTGATAGATCTGGAAAACCGCAGGGAAGTTTCTGTGATACTCCAGCAGTTTGTTTGACATCTCCTGTTCAGATAGACCGTCTGGTTTCACCAAACGTTGCTGTACCAGCGGATCACTTGGCCAGTCAAAGGTCGTATGGTACACCTCTAGAAGTTAGACACTGATTAGGAACTAAGAGGATGATTTAATAGGTCTTGCTCAGCTCCAAAAGGTTTCCTAAACAAAATTAAGGTCTTTGTTTAAGCTTTGTATTGTGGCACAAGCAATAACCTGTGTACTTCCCTCACTACTTGTACTGACAGCTATTACTCTGCAGGTGCACAGATAGGAAGTGGCCAACTGCCCACCCATGTAGCCAAGACAGCATGATGAGTAGGAACCAGGAGCTGGGGATAGCTCTCCAAATTCTTAGACTGAACCTTAAGCAAGACCTTTGATAAGCAAATCTCCTTTATAGCAAATAAAAGCCATTTCTTTAGTTAAGAACGTCCCTCCTACTTCCACTCCTAAAACATCCAATGTGATTTTTTTATTGAGCAATGTCAGGATTTTATTTCATGATGGATGATTGATAATTATACTCAACAGACAATACAGAGCTAAGTCTATATAACAGTCATTTAATGGAAGATATCTAAAAGCAATACCTGCACCTCAGAAAAAAAACAGGATCTAGCTAAGATGCATAGCGAAATGTAAGCTCATATGGACAGATCCAACCTTCAAATACTCTGTACTGCCATAGCCTACTGTTTGCAGGCTCAATACTGAGCTTTACATTTGCCCATATTTTATTGGCACAGAAAAAATGCAATATCAACTTTTTCCAAACAGTTTAAATTTATAATTATAAATTCCTACTCATTCTTAAAGGGATACCATTTAAAGTTTAATCCCACTGGTATGACAATGTTTCTGAGACCAAGCAACACTCCAGTTTCTAGTGGAGATCAGGAACAAACACATACTGCACCTTCTGTGAAGGGATCAAGCCTTTTCCCACTGTTCCTCTCAATCAGCACAGTGTCTGCAGCATAAAGCACAACTAGGAACAAAAAAAAAAAAAAAAAAAAAAGAAGAAGATAAAAGAAAAAAGTGTAGTTCTTGTTAGTTACTTGATTTCCTGTAACTGTTTAGAGGTATCCTAGTATTGAAGATGGATGAATGTATTTCAAGCACATTTGCCTCATTCTCCTTTCCCATTATTCTACCTGCAAATACTTCACTTTTAATCAGAATTTTGTTCCACCTCCTAAACAGTATAGTGGGACAAAATACACATTAATCCAGTCCAGTACCCATGAGTACTAGCTGTTCCTGTCATCCATACCAATTAACAAGGTTCTCCCTCACTTACATTGTATCTGGAGCCTAGGATGGAAGTACCCACAGATCACTCGAGACTGATTCTCTTCTATATCACAAACAATTACTTTTCACCCAGGTACTTTGGTAGTGAGACCAGTGAAATTCATTTTTTGATAACCTCACAGAACAGTGTTCAAACTTGATTAGAAAGCATCAAGAGATGGAGAATCTGTCAGTTCCCTAGGTTGCTTTTGGCTAATCATCCTCACAGTTAAACACTGTAATTTAATTACTATTTTCAGTGCATTTGATTACAGGTTTCAAACAAGTTCTTCTTATGACTTTCTTCTCTGTATCAAATAGCTCTTTCAGACACTTTTCTCCCTATTAAGGTACTCATACACTGTAAATCTCATCTCCTCTCAATCTTCTTTTTGATTAACTAGACATACTGAGCTTTAAGATTCTCATTCAGGTCTTGGTTGCACAGATATAATTGTGAGCAAAACTCAACTTCAGATGTTATTAGCTATATTAAAAATACATGCAAGTACTAGACATAAAACATTTTTGCCTAACTGTATTGCAGTGATTCCGAATTGTTCATTAACAGTCGAATCTCATCCAAATCAAATCCAAAGTGACAATTCATCAAGTTCGCTAACATTCTGTTCACTATCCACTGGCAAGCTCTACATTTATCATTTTACACTGTATTCCACACAATCGTAATAACTTCTTACATTCTAAGTAGGTCCTCTAACTATATTAATTTGAGACAACTGGCTGCTTCTAGATAGCAAGGGCAGCAGTCAAGGTCTTGTCTATCAGCACTTTGCCAGCAAACAAATGTTCCTCTCAAATCAACTCAGAATCCACCCATACTCTGAAAGGTCAAGCTTAAAATCATGAAGTTTCCGCTTCACTTGGTGGAGTAAAGTTTGCTGAGTTTGCATTCTCTAATTCAACAGAAGGACAAATTTGTATTTAGTACATGAGGAATTGTTTTGGTCTGAGGATCACTAATGGCTGATTTCTAGAGATTGAAGTCAGAGAAAATTTGGACCCACTCCTAGGACAGAAGCAAAGCTACATATAGCTGCTCAGAGACACTTGCTGGAGTGGTCTTTTTTTTTTTTTACAGAAAAAAATTACAGAAACTCTAATGCATAAGAAGAAAAAGGTTCACATGTGAAAGACATGATTTAAAGTCTCACAGGTTACCTCAAGTTTTTGAATGAATCTGAACCATACTGAAATATTCTGCTGTCTCGTCAACTCTGATGTCTTCAGTATCGGTATTGAATTTATTGAGGATTTTTGGGCAGAAACATTTTTAGTGTTTCCTACTGTATGCAATCACACAAACCTTGTACTGCTTACCAACATGCCTAGGAATGATGCCAGATGATTGCAGCATCCATGCCTGCTCCTGATTTTCAGGGAAGCCTTCCAAAATCCATCCCTATTGAACAAAACCATGAAACAGTTACTGATCCTGGAAGAGAAAATACAAAAATTAGCAGTAAATATCATTGCTATTTGCACAAAAATTACCTCATTCTGATCTCACAATAGCGCAGTATTTGTTATGGATGCTTGTGAGAGAAGAAAGCAAATATGGAGCACTGATATTTTTGTGAAATAGCATGCACTAATACCACTGCCACAGAGCAATGGGACCTTATGTATTGTAGCAATGATTTTTTTTTCATGTTTCAGTCTTAAAAAAAAAAAAAAAAACTTGTATCTTGAACAAAAACAACCCAAAACAATTTCTACAGTTTTGAAATATTCAAAAGGATACCAGCCCACACTGTGTATAAAAAAGAGGCTAAACAAATCTAAAGACAGATTTAATGCCAAGAACACTGAGGAAAATATGCACACTTTCATTATTTCCTTAAATTATACAGGAAAACTCACAGTAACGGAACCAGCATTCCCAAAGCTAATGAAGCAACAGAGCAAAAGAAAGAAAAAAAGAAAAAAGAGCCTTTTGCTCCCTTAAGTCCTTGTTATAGCCAGCTAAGTGTTGGATTGAGCATCTTTAAAAAAACATTTACAGATCTGTGAAATACCGTAGGAGAGCTGCAGCCTCACTCAGTTTCTGTGTGATGCAGTATTTGAAGTCTAATCCACTTCCCAATCTCAAGTCTGAATCTTCTAAACTTTGTCTAATTTATCTGTTAGTCGCTTAACCACACATGTCCCTGGTCACTACATCCTAAACCTCAAAATAACTTTGTGATGCTACAATAAATCTGGAAACCATCTTTGTACTGAAATAAAGAAGATATTTTAATATTGCATTAGCTAGCAATCATTATCATCTCCCACATAAATGTGAAGCTCTGTCAGTATGGGGTCCAAAGGTTTTAGAAGTATTTCAGGGAAACATATCTCTATGACTTCTGCAGGAGGAAATTGGGACATTCCAATTATACAAGAAAATAGAGTAGACTATTTAAAATTCCTTAATTAGCCTGGTTTCAGGAACATGTCATCCTTCTGATATCTGTGGAAAATAAGAGACTCAAGTAACTGCAAGCCATTTTTGCCACTCTCAGTGTTTGCTCTATCGAATTAGAATGAACCGCTGTCTAAGGTCACACAGGTGCTGAGAAATCAATTTATCCCTTGGGACTTGCAGGAGGCAAGGCTGCACAATATTTTTAGCGGTATGCTAGGAACTTCAGCACTAGTTCTGAATATATTGTGCCTGTACAACACACATAAAGGCCCAGATCCTCTTCTGGGGAGAAATGGCATCAGAGGTCTGAAGCCAATAAATCTATGCCAATTTACACAGACTACAAATCTGGCTCATTTTCTCCACTCCAAGTGCAATACTTTTGGAAACTAAAACAAAATAACTGCAAAAAACCCACCCCACAAAACCATTGCTTCCGATGTCACTACAGCTCAAAATTACATACTGAGCAACAGGCAGTAAACACAATATTGTATTTTAACAATGTACAGCAAACTTCAAGAGGTTTATATACAAATTTCAAAGGTCCTTAAAACAGGCAATAAGCAATTTTATAGCTAAAAGTTTTTGCAATGTAAAAAAACATAGCTCAATAAAGAGCTTCCTGCAACAAATACATTTCAAGGCATTAAATAAATGCAAAATACAAAATACAAAACAAATACAAAAATAGTTAGCATTTTGGATCTTATTTCCAAAGGTCTCTGAGTTCCAGGGTATCAGTCAGTCCCTAATTAGAATACATTATCCATCTACTTGACACTTCAGTGAAATGTCTATTCGACCACAGAGCTGCAGCTTTGTTCAGAACAGGTTTATTGATATTCTGCTGCATTCCCTCTCCATACCCCCAGTGGCTTGGTTCTGTTTTATCACACATCAAAAAGGCCGTATGCTCAGGGCACCCCATGCACAGCTCAGAGCTGGAGGTCTGAACAGCTGCAAGTAGTATGGTATCACAGGAGGGACAAGCTCCAAGCAGATGTCACAGATAAAAAAAAAAGAAAAGGGAAAAAAAAAAAAAAAGAGTAAAAAGGGAGTATGGCTTGGGAACGAAGCAAGAGGAAGCAAGACACAGCAGAGCAAGACCTGACTTAAAATATGCCTATCATGCTTTATGCAAACACTGGTCTTTTTTGCCCTCCTGACTATCATTAAAGTGTAATTAATAACTTCACATGGTAAATTTGTTTCTTTAAGAAGCCATCTATTTTTTGTTCTTGATAGCAGTAACCTTACATCCATGCACGGATTGCACCTTATCACATCAAGGGTTGAACAAAGGCTAAGAGTGAGTAATTCCACGGTGCCTTTACTCTGTGGTCACTGTTCTCTCTCTTTCACATGGAAACCTCAATCCTTTCCCACATGAAGACTGCTGTAAATACAGCATTCTGCTGTTGCCTTAATGCCAAGTGAAGCGCTCCTTGGAGACCCATGCCATGCTGAAAATCAGCAACACGGAAGTGCTTTCAAAGCTGTCACTTTCCTCTCCAGATTTAAGGAATCTGGAGAAAAGGAAATGCTCAAGGTCATTCCCAAATGTAAATCTCATTCCGTTGCTGGCAATTCTCTCAGCTACAATATCAAGCCTATATACTTTCACAATTTCCACCCCAATAATAATGACTTGGATATTCAAGTTCTCTCTTGTTAATTGACCTGTACGTACTCAATGTTTTTTTTTTATTACAAAATCAAAAATTGACACTGCCTTAGAATAATGAAAAGGGATAGCACAAAGAAATAATGCTGAATTACATGGCACATCTGAAAGAAATCTCAGCCACAAGCATAAAGATCAAAGGTCATGAATACTGCTGCCATTAGGAAAACAAGTCGTCGCAACAGTTTTTCCACATCATCATAAAGTATTTTTGATAAAAGTATTACGTGCCTTTCACTCCCATCTGAAAAAAGGGTACAGACAATAATGCAAAAAAATATCACCACTAATAGCTTTGCCAGTATGGATCTAAAATTTCCGAGATTTTCAGAAAAGAGCAGACGGAAGTGCAGTAGAAATATTGTCAGCCCAACTCTTGCAGCCCATCAACATTAGCAGTATGGATGATGGAAGAAGCTCAAACTTTACCAAATTTCCCGTTAGAAAGAAATGGGAATTTTATTGCCCACATTCTTCTTGGAAAACGAAAAAGATGGTGAATAAGCAGATTCTCTCCCCAGATAAACCTACGTAAGATCACTATCCTTGCATGGAATTTCAGAGAGACAACATGATGATCTTTATCTGCCAGTGTAAAACCAGAAAGAACCAAGAGCCATTGTTCTCTTTTCCTTCCCTTTCAAAGATAGCCACTACCCTTCTGAACCGTTTAATACCAATCAAAAGTAATTCTGCCACTACTCATGTGAATCACTGGCCTAAGCTTAGTTTCTAAATGGTCCTAAGACATGAGTAAGGTTGCTCAGTTCTCTCTCTCACAAATTCATCATGCAGCAATCTCTTCACTAGCCTTCCCCAGTTCTGTAAATTCCCTCCACAACACCAGCAGTCACAGGTGCCGTAGCCAACATGTACTAACCCTGTAAGATGAAAAGTCTTCATATCAGCTTCACAAGTCCCAGGTTCTAACGTAATGCTTGCAATAAGTTTTCTGCGTATGCTGGAAGACCTACCCATCTGATCCCTTGCAGTCCTAACTACATTTGTATTAGAAGAACACACAACACAGAGTCTCAGCAGAGCTGTTGATCAATAAAAATGTTCTCCTTGGAGAATGCCTGTGACATCTATAAACCTGTGAGTGTCAAAACAGTGGCACAAAAAATTCCGTATTCCTACTGTCAGTGGGATGAAAACTGTACAATTAATGCCAAGCCAATGACACCACAAGGAGAAATAAAACAAACAGCTGGTGGTACTATGGTCCAACATACTGCTCCTAATCTATTAACATTCTCAGAAAAAAATGCTGACTCATGCTTTGAGAGAAATGGCATAAATCTGTTCAATGAAGTACAAAATCCACCGTATTAATTCTATTTCCAATCACACAAGGAAAATATTGCAATTGAAATGCATAGATCCCCTTTCAAATGGAAAAGACATACACAATGTGAGGAAGTTTTAGTGACCATGAATTACTATCTATTAATTAAAAGATTTTTAATAACCATCACAACTTTGGAAAGTCAATTATGTGTTTTTCCTAAAAATAGCTGAAACCTTAACTAGACCAATAACATACACTCCATTCTTGCTGCATGTCAGGGAAGCTTTATAAAGGGTTTTTTTCCCCCCCTCGCTCTGTAACACATCCAGCACTGATTCAGTGTTGCTGGTGATAACATCAGGAACATAAAATGTAGGCAGGATACTACGCAGCTGTTGGCATTTTAACCATCTTGTCACCTTACTCAGAGTTTACATGGCCTAATACTTAAAATAACAGTCACTGAGAGATCCTTCCCTCGCTATTAAAAGGAGACCTAGAACCATGCCAACAATTATAGAAAGCATGGGGCAAAAAAGCATAGGGTGGATGCAGCCTTTGGAGAGCAATGGATTTTGCTTACACACTGATGGTTAGTAAAACTCACTTTAGCGCTATCACAACAATCACTGGAAAAATGCCTTCTTTTCATCAGGCAAAGAGACTTATGTGAAAAAATAAGCATGTTGGAGAGATTTTAGAGCTACTGTTATAAAAGCCCTAAACTGAAGAGTTATTCACCTACTTGCTAGTTTACAGCAACTGCCATCCAACAGCTTTCCTCCAGATAGCATTAGAGGACAGATTGCCCCAGCAACTACTACCTTTGAGAGATCATGTGAGAAAATATTTAACCAAAACTATTGAAAATACCAGGGGTACCCTGGCATCTTCCCTATCCTGCCTGCTAACCACTAGTAGCACAACCAGAGAAGCTGTCAGTGTTAAGCTGAGGGGGTCTGTGTTTGAGGACTGAAACCAGCCTAAAGCCTAGCAGTTAGCAGTCAGAAGAGCAGTTTCTCTCTTGGGTTTATCATCTTTCTAACTTCCTTTCATTTCTACAGGTTTAAAGATATTTTAAACATACTCACTAGAGGAGAAGTTTCACTTGAGATAGATGTTCCACATCTTGCCACAAAGACAAGGTAGTAAATCATACAATCACCTGACTTGCTGTATATCCATGATATCTCATTGCACTGCTTACATAAAAAATGTTGACATTCATAGCCTTTTTTTGCTGCTCATTTGCTAGCATATCCAGAGATGACAATACTGGTCTTTCAAGTGTTCCTCAGCTATACTCTTTAATTCAAAATGCCACAAAAATGAACAAGATGGTACACCACATGCGTGTTTTTAAACAGGTTCTCCTGAAAATTGAAAGGCCTAAGTCCTGTGTGATTTAGTACAGATAAGCAAATATGTTAAATACTACCAGATATTTGATCTGGAGTGCTAAATAATAAATAAATAAATAAAATAGCTCAGCTAAAAAGACCTTCAAAAGAAACTAGACAGACTCATATAATTCAGGTACACTGACTAGCAATGCAAAAGTTCAATTTTACTTCGCAAATTCCAAATTAATAGATCAATTATGGAGTAAGATGTACAGTATTTTGCAGAGAAAAATCGATAACCCTTAGGTTTTCTGCCAATCTCTTTACTCCTTTCTTTCTAAGGATCCAAAAATCATTGTTTCAATCTCCCAGATGATGAAGCATGGAGCAAGAAACACAGGATCCTAAAACACACAAAAAAACGGTCCATTTGGAAAAGAAGGGGAGGGGGTCATGTCCTTATACATAATGAACTAGAAAATTCTTCCACAGGCTTTCCAGGCCTCGACATACCAGTGTAGGAAGGGACTTCAAAGAGAAACGACAGCAAGGTTTAGGAAGAAAATAAGAGCTTGAACTAACAGCAGTATGCATTTTGCCTAAAACCTGTGTCTCATCTGCACGGCGAAGTAGATTTTATTAGTTCACAGTAAGTGGAAAGAAGGCAGGAGTGTGCATTAGAAAAATCCACACTTCACAGTTTAGAGTTGCCAGTACATTTTAAAATCCTAATCTTGGTAATTCCCCATGAAAGCAAATAGTGGTGTAGTTTAAAAGTGCAGGGTTCAGCTCATCACTGTGTTACTCCAAAGTTGCAGGAATTCAACCCCATGAATGTCAATGGGATTTATATCTGGTATAAATCTAGAATAATTTAGAGATGAGCTAGGTTTCTGTTTCATAAATTTCCCTTCATAAAAACAATTGCTCACATTTCTTTGAGGGAGGAGGAGTCCTATACTGTCATTTGTAAATATGTATGGGACCCAATAATGCACCCCAGATTTTTGTTACGGTAAGTCTCTCATTAAACCTGGATTTAGCTGAAAATGCAATGAAATGTTCAAAAGTCACCCACATTAACTTATTTTTACTGCTTCAGAGCTTTCTCTACTGATGAAAAAGGAAGGACTTTTATAGGAAGGTATTTCCCAATGCAAATAAGGGCACTGTCATACACTCTTCTATGACCTGGCAAAAGAAGAAGATTAGCTGGGCAAGGAAAGGTTTGTTTTAGCTTAATGACTTTTCTCGGTAACATTAAACACCAGCAGGTAGTATTCAAAATTAAATTCTCATGCAACCAGTGGATTAGACAATGTGATAGGTTGAAGTTTAGCTATTGCTAGTCCTAAGCTATTGCTTAAAGAGACCAGCATACTACCTATTTTGCTACAGCTCACAACAGAAATATGACACAGACAGATGTCCTCTAGTAAACCTCTCAGGCAGGAACAACTTAACAGATTACATCTCCAGCTATTCATTACCATCCTGATCAAGTTATCCTTTCCACAGTTCATACACTGTAATTGACCATCTGATGCAGCTTACACAAGGCAGGTCCATTGAAAGCCACTTCCACCAGTGGCTTAAGCTAAGATAGTTGACTTTGCACTGAAGCACATGAAGACTTCTTTGGCAATCATTCACATTATCTGAGTTCTAAAAGCCGAAACCTTCAACCAGGGGCAGAAAATTTTTTCAATTCTCTTGCTAGTTTTGTTGATGTTTCTCTGCACCTATAAACACCTCTGTGCTACAGAATTACCATCTTAAAAACTACAAGGCAGCGGTCCAGTCCCCAAGATTATTTTGTTTTACGTGGATGGAAGGATCACTGCAGACTATACAAAAAAATCACAGAGACAGAGAAAGAAGTACAAGACATAAGGTTTTCAGCATTTCCAGTTTCTCCTTAGGAAGCAATTTTCACACTTCAATGAAATGTTAATTACCAGCCCTGCTTAATTCAACCAACAAGGTGGATGATGATGATGTTGAGAAGCAACAGATTTTAATAAAACTATGAGCCTTGCAATATCTCTATGAGGTCAGGAAGTACTAGTTATCCCCTGACCCAAAGGTGTGGGTGTGACAGCGTGACTGTTCTGAAAACACGTACTATTTATCTGAAAAAAGCTGTTTAGTCCTTCATGAACGTAACACCTACTTTGGACTGGACTTTTTCCTCTCAAGAAATGCATCAAATAATGTCCACTCCATATTTTGGCACTGTTTAGAAACAGGGGTTTATTCATTAATCCCTTATAATGGGCTGATTATGGATTCAATAAACCATAACAACATCTAAGATTTTAAAGGAAACATAAAAGAGATTTTGCTTTCCTTGAGTCCAGACATTAATTTCAACCAATATTAATCTACTTATGTTCTCTTTTCGTTCTATGTTAAAAGCCTCTACTTACATTAAGGCTAAACACATGGAGCGGGGGGGAAGCCACACATCTGTGAATACAGCTAAATCTATTCAGTTGCCTATTTGTGTAAACTAACAGTGAACATATTAATTATTACCGAGAAGAGAATATATGCAAATGCAGTTTTTCATAAAACAGGATGAAAAAAAGACACAATGAGCAATAAAGAAAATTGATACGAATAATGTTAGACTCTTTGTTCCCCTTTCCTCAATAAGAGTTAAAATCTTATTGATTTTTATATATTTTCTGTTTATCTGTTTTGTCCACTATAACTCTGCCAGTTGCCCCAGGCAATCAACAAAGCTATGCTTGTTCAGCCTTTGATCATGTCTGTGCTAGAAGATTAGCATATGCATACTCTCATCCTCCCCTTTATCCTGTTAATAAAGCTCCAAACTCCCTCTGCTGATGTTCAAGAAAGCAATCCACTCCAGAGCCCCCAAAGATTTGCCCCCATTCCCTCCTCTGCTCAGGACTCAGAATGCTAACTACTATGCACGAGTTGTGTAAGTGCTTATCCACCAGCCCTCTGAGGAGCAATTCTTACTTGTTTCATGCAGTCCACATTTGACAGACGTTCCTGGATCAGATTGGCCCAAAGCGCGTTGGGAATTTCCTAAAGAAAGAACAAAAAAAAGGCTGAATATTCACAATTGAGTTCAAAAGGAATTTTACCATGCAGGCATATTCCGGTTAAAGGTGAAATGAAATGTCTTCTTAAAAATAAATAAAGAATTAAATATGTGCCAAGTCCCTAGTCATTAACATAATATATCAGAGAGTTAATAAGGGCACAAAAATCAGTGTTAAAGGTAAGCTGAACACAAAGCTTAAATCCATGCTTTTTGCACACTAACATGGAAGCGGTGCCAAGTTTTGCACACTAACACACACATTGGACATCAAACCTGCAAAGGGATCCATAAGAACATCACATCCACAAGTAATCCTTTTTACCATGAGTATCTGACCCACTACTGCTTCATGTCTGTGGATTCAGCATTAATGATCTTAACAGCTATCCTGTGAAACAAGCAGAATCTCAAACACAGAGCAAATAATAGAAAAAGTCTGATTTTTAGGAGTTTTGTTTCATAGTTTCAAGTAACTCACTCTTTCATCATCCAGAAAGTTTATTTAAAGTACATTGTAATGTTAAAGTTAATTTTAATGTTGAAGTTAGTTTATTTTTAAACTCAGGACCGTGAAATGGGATTGAAACTGCACGTGCCAAGATTTTCAGAAGTGCTGTTTCCTTCTGTGACTATTACTTTGCCCATATCTAGAGATGTTTTGTAATACAGTATTTGCTATCTGACAGAAGAACAAAGTTCCTGTACAGATTTAGCAGTTTTTGCCCCTCATAATATTTATTCCATTATTATATTAGATTTCCTGACAAGAAATTAACAATACCCTTCTCTCCTTCTTGTAAGAATTTTCTTCACTATCTTGTTAATTTAGGCCTTCATTCTATGCTAAAAGTGGTTGAACAAACTCTATGTTAGGTAGTTAAAACTTGATAAAGTCTAAACCTTTGGCCATGCCAGTCAGAGCATCTGTTAATCATCTGACTAAATGCCTTGTCTCAGTCTCATTCACTTTTTCATTATTGGCAAAATGAATACTCAGAAAAAATTGTGCAGTCAGATTACTCAGAAAAAATTCTGCAGTCAGATTCTCTACTTCCCCAGTCAAAAAATTATCTTTCACTTAATGACGTGAGCTTGACTCTTTGTTCCACACAGTTCCATATGCTGTGGGTTCCCATCTCTTTTTCTGAGCAACAGTCTGAAGGGCATAATCATAAATAAGGAATATTTCTGCAGGCTTATGTTATGCTAAAGAATGCACATAGATATAATGAAAATGTGGCTAACTATGTGGAAAGATGTCATAACAATCTTTGTCATTAGATCATGAAACAATTTCACCAGGATTGGTGGAAACAGTACCACACAAGTCACTCTAAAGTAGAGTAGAGCAAGCACTCTAGAATACAAAAGAGACCAGTCCTCGGAAAGGACAAGGTGGCCCAGTCAGGCAGTGGGATTTCTTGTTTTATTTATCTCTACTGTCCCCAGTTCTCAGTGTCCTTCCTAATATCAGCCATTCATAAGGCAACATTCAAGCAGGTAAAAGAGAAAAAGGGAAAGAAATTGCTGTGTTTCTTGAAAGTCGGCAGGTCCCATAGGGTGGTGCGTCAAAGCCTCCTGCAGCCTCTCGCTGCTGGAGCCTGGGTCTGTGGCTTTGAGTCTGTCACCTTCCAAAGGTGCATCACGCTGCTATCAGAAACAGCTAGCGTCTTGCTTACTCCTTTGATGTGTCATGTCAAAACAGGCTAGCGACTGCCGGGGGTCCACTCTGCTAAGCCTTGCCAAATCAATTTAAACCAAAATTATACTAACTTCTTTCAGTGCAGTGGTATTCTTAGTCCTCTCTTTTGAGCAGGATTTATTGCACAAAAACAATCAAGGACACACATGCGGGTATTTCAGTGGTTTAGTTCCTTATGCTCTCGGTGGCTCAATTCCAGTCTCATTTCCTGGTCAGTTTTCCTCCTATTGAGCAGTGGCCTACAAAATCGTTTTCAACAGGTTGCTTGTAGAAAGCTTAATTATTCAACTAGAAATCATTAAATTTGATACATATCAGACAGCACATTCATAATTTCTCTCTCATAAACACTCACATAAATATATCATGAGCCTGGTAGAGGGGACTTTGCCTCCCAGAAATCTGCAATAATGGACAATGATACACATACATTTGATAACTGCAGAACTGTATACCTTATCTAAGGCACTCTGAGGCTGTCCCAACACCCAGTTCAGTTAACGGAAAGACCTGCTGCTTGAATTGTTAAACCTTCTAAAAGCCATGGTATTTTATGTTCAGACCACTTTTCTATACACACTGGTTTAATCACTATTTCCATACTGCTGAAAAACTGTACTCATTCCTGATTAATTTTAAATATTCCATGTTATTTCAGGGACATCATATTTCATCTTACATGCCTGATCTACTCGGAGTTACGTTTTTGCAATCTTTTCACAAAACTGCTACACTTTTTGTTGCCAGGGCTGGGGGAGCACTTTGCCTAGACATTTCCATTGGAAGATTTGGATATATTTGTCCTGAAAAGAGCTACAGCTAAAAACTTCTGACTTAGTTTGCTTTATAATTTGTACCTCAGAGAGAAAAGCAGTCAAGTTTGAAGAAATTTGGTTTAGTATCTTGAAAATCATGAATGTTTAGATTTAGCTTGTTCAGATAAATACACATGGAAGACTGAGGGTTTTTTATGTATACACAAGACTGGAACAGTTCTTGTTTGTTCCTTCGTAGTGGCTTGTCCCGAAATAGATTAGAATGCCGAACATGCATAGATAAGGACACCTTCGATTTTCCTCTCTCCTATTATATTTCTTCTTAAAAAGCATGAGGATATGACGCAACTGTAGAGTAGTTTTAAGTCATTACATAGTATGCAAACTCCTTAACTGCAATTTAGTATAGCATTAAGAGCATACCCATCCCATAAGCCCACAATTACCACAGCCGTTTCAACTTCTTATTTTATCCAGCTAACAGGAAAAGTGAAACATGCAATAGCTCATCATTAGACTTCACTATAAGAAAAACCTGAAGGTGCTTCCTATTAACATTATAATAACTAGAGATGAGGGAATAATTTGCAATGATTTATCCAAAAATGTAGCCTCTTTTTCTGTTCATGGAATATTTATTGACAGCTCGTGGTTCTTCAAATTTATTGAATATTCAAAAATATTTGACTTCTTTTTGGAATATTTTTACATGCAGAATGATCACATTTTACTTTGAACAGTCAATATTTAAAATTCACTACCTGAGCTGTGCTCATTAGTAAGTGGCCAGGTGTGTGTTAGTGAATGATTGCATGTCCAACTTTAAAAATTGAGCTTCAGAGAATAATCACATATTTCAAATACGCCTTCCATGAATTCTTGTGCCAGGAAAACTCAAATGCTTTAACGTTCACTGGAAGTGACCACAAAAGAGATGAAATCTTGGCTAAAGATAAGTAAAATATGTGAACAAACATTTGCAGACCTTTTTGCAGCGTTTGTCCAGATCTAGTAACATTGGCCTACTGACTTAAAAATGAATGACCTTTGGCACTGGGGTTAATTTAGCTACAGTAACCTTACACGCATGAAACGTTCCTCTAACAACATTAAATTGCGTTATATGATCTTCACACCAGACTTTCAAAAACACAGTCTTAGTTCCTGCTTTTCCTCTTTCCATTTATTAAATTGCTTTGGCCAGGCCTACAACTTTTTAATGCCCTGGTTGTATCAAAGACAGTATAAACAGCTATTGTTCTGTTCCTGAATAGACATTCAAACCCTATTAGTGCTAATGAATGTTATGTGTGCTAGAGGAGTCAAGTTTACCACTTGCTTCAGCAGAACCAGGGGTCAGTTACAGCAAAGGAGATTTAGCCAGCAGACATGAATCAGTATGGGAAAATACAGCTCTTGAGATGACAATCTGGCTACATTTTAAGTCATTGTAAAGCTTGCATTGATTAAGAGGCAGCAAGGAGTTCCCTCTTAGTTTTAGGAGTAACATTTGAAGAATCAAACTCACATAAAAGAACAAAAGAAATGATTTAGTGAAAACGTTCTTCTAGGATCTAACATCTCAAAAACAAAGGCAAACTGCACAGTACTGAACCACCACCAGATTCTGCTCTTCGGGCACCCCTTAGTACCTGATTAGCCTTGACATTTTTGACTTTCATCTTCCACACCATCCATTTTTTTAAATCAAATAAGCCCAAAAGGACACCCTTGAAAGTGCATCTGTATAGTCTGAAATATGTTAATAATTACAGTAATTAAACCAAAGGGAATTTTTGTTTTAAATTCTCCCCCTCTAAGTTGAAATTTATGAATCTGGCAAAACAATCTTTAATAATTAGAATGAAGATTTCAAAGTACATATTCTCAATAAGAATCATTTTATATCATCCCAGCCAAAAGCAAACCTTTTTGTCAGTAAGTTCAGCGAGTTCAATGAACTCTTTCCTCTCAGATCTTTAAGTATATTACTCAAGACATCTCCAAGCATCATTCACTAATTCAGTATAATAAACACTACCCTATTTTCAGCCTAATTTTTTAAGGAAAAAAAATTAGTCTATGTGTCACACCATCTACCATCTCAGCAAATTATGAATCTGTTGGCCAATTTCAATGAAATTTAGCAGCAGTGTAGAATTCTCACAGAAATAAAATTTCTTCAATTTTTATGAAAATAGGTAACAAGGGAGAAAAGAGAAACTCAAATTAATGGACTCGCTACAGAGAGTCACAGAAAACCAGACTTCCTCCATTCTATTACTCATGGAATACCTTGACGTCTGGAGAAAGGAATCATCTAAAAGGGCAGGAATCAGAAGGAGATGCTTCTGTGTATTCAAGACGTTCTTTCAACATATTTTTCTGATCTACTTGTCACTAGCCTTTAATAACAAGACAATTACATTGCTGATAACTAATCCTGTGCTTCATGACATTTGGGAAAAATGTTCTTCAGACCAACTCCTTTGAGCATTAGTTAGGAAGCCCACAATGAAGGATGGATGGATTTAAGAACCTGTCTGGAGCAAACTGGGTACTTGGAGTTGGGTAGAGTGCATCAACCCAAGAACTGAATGACCTCCTGAGTCGGCTGCTATTAACTCAGCTTGAGAGCTTCTAGGGTTTTCAATAACTGACTGGATTGTCATACTGCTTTTGAGTTAATGCACCAAGTTATTTGTGTCATGCTACAGAGAAATCAAGCATGCACAACTAAGTAGCTCTGTCAGATCAAAAAAAGTTCTCTGTGTACATATTTTCCAGAGCATTTTGTACTGAAGGAGACCTCAGAGATTAATGCTTATTTTATTGAGATTATCAAACATGCTGAAATAGAAGATGCTTTGTTTAACGATACAATGAACCCTTCTTTAAAATGTATTGTGCATACCTGGACTTCTTTCAATTCTGTTGCTCATGTCTAAGGTTAATGTTTTCAAGACCTCCATTACTTTACAGTGTCTTCCTCTCCTGCCCCTATTCTATGCCCTGACACATTTTTATCTTTGTTTATATCTTCTTATCTAGCAGAGGTTACCCTTCTTCTCTGAAAGACCCTGTATCTACATATACACAAACCAAAGTACAAATGAGCATAGAAATAAGAATATTTACTCTGATCTGCTCAATTCATAGCAGTAGAAATCATGGGAATGCCATATAATTCCTCTTCTGTGACATGAGAACTACTATTATTATACCCTCTTACACACCTGTTTTCTTTCTTTATATGCCTTTGCTTCCTTTGTCAGCGCTAATATTTCCTTGAATAACAAAGTCTCCCGAGAGATACGTATGGCATCCAAATGTTTACAAAGCCACATTGCCTGAGGGAAGAAGAAAAAAAAATACAGGTCGAATATTTGGAAAGAAAATGAAGCATTTTTTCAGAAGACTGCAGAAAGACAGAGTGCTTTCCCAGCCTTCCATTTAAGTAAACAGACTATATGTGTAACTTTAAGCAGTTTCTTATAAAATGTTCAAGAGTCTACAGCTTTGAATAAGGTCTTTTTCATCTACTGTACTATAACACAGATTTTAAAGAAGAAAGCATTCTTCCCAGCATGCACACACCACCATCATCTGCAAAGTTTCTGTGGTCAGCTTTCTCTGTGGTTCAAATACAACTTTGACATTTTCAATTAAACGGTACCAGTGAACATGACAGACAACTGGCCATGCAAATGAAGCAATCCACAATATGGGAATACCACAAATGTGTAACTGTGGTACTCCTCTCAGGCTAATTAATCCTGCTAAAAAGCTGGGAAAAAAAGGCAGGCAGGATTCTGTTGCATTACAGCAGTATCACTACCACTACCTGAGAGAGCTCTCACAGAGCTCACTTGAACATTTCCATTTAACCTCTAGTGTAATATACAGGCATTCCCTTAGGAATGCCACCCTTCAACTTGTCTTGTGCTCTTCTATCACTTTGACAATTCTGAAAATTATTTTCTCAGAATAAAATTTTCACAAGTGCTAATCTCAGTATAAAGTAAAAAGGTAACTGGACAGTATTATAACATTGAAGGTAGCTTACTTACAACTGTAGTTTTCCCAGAAGCAGGTGGACCAAGTACACAAATTCTTGGAGCTATGAAACAAGAGTATGTGAATGTCAAGATGCAGAACAGCAAAAATCCCAACCACTTTCCCACTATTGCGTTGCATAATATAAATGTAATCACAATGAAACAATTATTTCAGTTGGAAATCTGCCTGAATGGAGACTTCAGGATTGGGCTCCACTGAGGGAAAAAAAGCGGAAACGCTACGTCAGTGACAGCTGGGTCTTCCTTTAATCTCCATGGTCAATGAGATTAATACTCTGACTAAACATGCCACTTAAGCATCTATCTATCTATCTATCTCAATTTAAACACATGGATAGTTTAGGGGGTGAACCAGAGCATAAGATATGAACATTTCCTTATCTGAGTTTGACTTTTATTCCCAAAACATTGATTAAGACCTAACACATTTTGTGAGGAAAAAATATTTTAGCTTGTACATGCAGGACAGGACTATTTAAAAGTGACTATTATCAGAATCATAGAATGGTTGAGATTGGACAGGACTTCCTGAGATCATCTCTCATAACTCTTACACAGTATGGTAGTAAAAATACTTTTTACTTTGGCAAAGCTTTTGGCTCTCATCACAAAAAATGCAATTTCACTTTTAGTTTCATCTAAATAGGGTGTGTCAGGGTTCAGAGAAGATTTAGATACTGCAAAATTAAGCACTCTCTCTCTCTACCCTTTTTGACAGCTACCTTCAATTTTTCTAGTCGTCATTAAAAGTAATTTTCTTCATCTCTGTATCTTGTGTTTCTCTACTGCATGTCCCTCTCCTTTCCCTGAGGGGGCAAGGTGGGAAAAATGCATCCCAGTTCTGAGGAATTCTTAATCTAATGCATACAGACAACACAATAGCCATTACTGTTGTAAGCTTCATTGGGAATGAATTAGAGGCAAGACAAACAAGGGAAAATGGAGTAACTCTTAGGAAAGTATTTGGGACTTTTTCCATGAACACACCTTGGGCTGCAATCCCTTAAGCTGTCATTTTATATTAATATTTTTGATGTTTTTTCCCCTAAACCTTGCAGAAGAAAAACCAAACCAAAACAGACTATACACAGAAGGGATTGATGAGTATTTACTGGGAATAACATTGGTCAAATCAGAGGAGGCATCTACTCACCCAAAAACCTCTTCAGCTCTTTATAACCAAGGGAGATACAGTGTCTGATGGTAGCAGACAGGGAAGGATGTGAAATGTATTTTTATGAGGCCTTCCATGCACTTAACAGTTATTGGGCAGGTGCAATTTTTAAACAGACATGAAACCCAAATTACAGATTCATCTTTACAAAGTTATCTGACTTGGAAGGTTTAAGAAAAACTCCCACCTTATTGGTTCTTGCAAATGCAACAGAACTAGTACACAATGTAGAAAAATACTTTAAAAGGATACATCAGCTGTTTTTATCACCTAATTTCTTTCAAATGTAATGTGATTAAATCCTAGGGTTTTTTTTTAATCTAACACCTTGAAACTCCAGCCCGGTACTTAGGAATTATTTATAAACAGCGTCATAAAAGAGTGCTCGGGTGCCAACACTAATCAACTTCTTCAAACCACTTCAAAGAAAATCAAAAAACCTTTCCATCCACAGATCCTTTTGAGGTTTAACTAGGAGCATGATTTAAAATTCACAAGAAAACCCTTAGGTATTGAAGCTTTAATACACAGCTTTCTTGGACAAACGTTTGATAAAAAACGAAACATACCATTATATACACCATATCATGCTTTAATATTGCCCAGGGCTACTGTAAATGCTCACTTTGTACTAAATCTGTTTTTCTTTCTGCTTAGTGGCTGGCAGCAGATGGGGCAGTGTAATTCACTGATTTACTCATTTGCACACTTGTAAGACTCCTCTAAAGCATTCTCCCTAAACATATGACACAAGGGCACGACCAGGACACCACTGTATGTAATGTTTAACCCCCTCCAATCAGCAAATAGTCAGTATTTAATACTGGAGGTCTGAACCAGCAGCTAAATGAAATCAGGAAAATCTAGAAAATGTCTTTTTCTTCAGTAAAAAATCACATTTCATTCCATGTTTAGTCTTGATGAGATGTTACAGGATTTACTCTTCCAAGTAAAGTAAGTTTTAACATTCAACAATAATTTTAGTCATAACAAAATTAATCGTGGAATAACGCAAAAGAACAGCTGGACTCACTGAGTTCCATTTAAGTGCGAAAGATTCTGTAATTAATATTAACGTGACAAAATTTGCTTAACTTGTAAGAGAAATCCTTTGTCAAACAGGAAAAGCACATAGTACATGATGAACGTTTTTGCAGAACTTTTTTACATTTCTTCAGAGGTTTGACTGTAAAGGAAAAATTCACAGAAATGCCACTTGGATCCTGAAAGCTTTTTTTATTAGCACAAACCAAGATACAATGTAGAAAACTAGCATTTTTGTATATGAAAGAATTATCAGTCTTCACATGGTTCTTTAAGCCTTTTAGAAGGATCACATGAAAGAACAATAGTACAGAGCCTTAAGCACAAACACTTGGCCACACATTTGACCTACGAGATTTTCAAGACAGTTGTACGCTATAATCATCATTAGACTTGTTTATATTTTTAAGAGTACTTTAGATCCTATTATTAATTAAAAAGGTTTTCTAACTTCACACCTGGGATAGATGCAATGCTTCTTTTCCATACATCTCTGTTTGAAATTTTCTCTAGGGCTAAAACTGTCTAGCAAGGCAAGATCATGAAAATTCATCACTTTACTGATGGCTCTAATACGGTTTTTTTCTTCTAAATAGTCAGCACCTTCCGCCATGATCAAAAAGTAAAATCAACTCTGCTACAGATTTCTGTTACATTATTTTCCATATAATTTATTCTTAAAACAACATTTAGGCTTTAATTTTAATTGGAGTTCCTTCCCTTTCTTAATAGTTTTTTCCAGACCAAAACCAGACAGCATTTTTCCTTTGACAAACAACTGCTGTAGTTCTATCTTTAGCCTGTAAGTACTGAAGTCATGAAATGGAAACCTGCCTAATTCTGTTCAAATAATACTGAGGGGCTTCAGGACAAATGTTAGCTCAATGTGAAGAAATTTTATCAGCATTCTACCAAACCACGTGAAATTCTTTCCATATTTTCCATGGGTCTATAAAACAGATGGATTACTCATGCTGCCCACATCAGAAAAGGCTGGACACAATTTGCAGGATTTGATTCTTTCTTTTTTTTTTTTTTTTTTTTTATATTTAGCAGCATTTCAATCAACATCCATCTGATCACCACCACTAAGAGCTCACAGCACCTCTAGTAATAATGATTTCATTGATGCTGCAGCAGAACTTTCATAATGGTTTACCATGGTTTTAAAGAAACATCAAAGCAACATGACACCAGCTATCCCTGACAGCTCATGCAGAACAAAAATTAGAGTTCAGTTGTGCATATCCAAATATAATCTGCCTAAGGGTGAACAGTTTGTAAATCAAATAATTTGATTGAGTGTACATGCTTTTATTGTGCAGAATACAGACTTCCTATTCAATTTACCAGGCTTTGTTATACATACAAGTAGGCATGCTCACTGTTCCTTCATCTGAGATGCCACTGAGCAGTGGAACTCATTAACAGCAACTAGTAACTAACTAATCAAAAAACAGAGAATCTGCCAGCCCAGGTAGAATAGGAAACCAAATTTACACCTGACAAAAGGAGTAATTAGCGAGCTTAAAGACAACAGGAAATATCAGATGGGGCACAGAACACATTAATAATTGATACACTAGAACTCTTTGTTATTCCCTTAGAGGGTTTCATTGTTATAACTGTTAAAGTACATTTTTTATTAGATTACCCACTAAAAAAAGAAATTAAAAGCATCTCACCTATAACTATTCCAAAACGCTCACCTTTTAATTTTTTTCCCCCTCAAGACACAGTCTGAAAAGTTTTATCCATCGTTTGTCAACTGAAGCGCAGCTTTCAAACAGCTATTTACAAATAAGGAATTGAACTATTTATGGCGTCTCAATTTTCACTTACCATCATCGTTGTTTTGCTTTAAATGGTTTATCATATACTGAATGGGATCATCTGGCTTATGAATTAATAGTTCTTCAAGCATGTTCTGAAAATAAATAGGACAAAGTCAGAGGAAAATTTAACATAGCTATGCAGTCATGATACATTGCATTTTTACAGCAATGTCACAATGAGGATCTTAAAGTGTTTATAAATGCTTATTCATTTTCTTAAGGCCCCTTTCATAGACAAAATTGAGACTATGAAACCTATTTTAGATGCTGAAAAACTGAAGTAAAGCATGGTCAGAAAATTGCCAATAAAAAAAAAAAAACAAACCTATTTGCTTTAGCTTATTTATGATACATATAGACACCAGAAAGGTTTGGTGACCACTTTGAGCCTGGTGTCGATAATGGTTGAGTCAGCATTGCCATAAAAACCATACAAGGAGTTCTGAAAACAGAGTCAACTTAAATTAGTATCTCTGCAGGGCAAGTTAAACCTCCTTCTCAAGCACATTCCCACAAGTTTCTGACTAGCCTAGAGGACTGCAGAACAGACACGATCTGCAGAAAACACACAAAACCAACAACCAATCAAAGCCACAAAAGCAGCACATCTCACTTTCGTAACTGTACTGGTCTTCCTCCTACATGAAAAGTAAGGGGCGGGGGG